AAAAAAAAATATGCAGCGATACCTGACGTGTAGCGCAATCGTCAGTTTTCTATGTAGGTGTACCCGACTTGTGTTTTCGTTAGTATACATGCGTTTTCAGGGTTGGGACTTTCAATTTGGGGAGTGGGGGGGATTTTTAACCACTTGCTGACCGGGGTGTTTACACCTCCTTCCTGTCCAGGCCATTTTTCAGTATTCAGCGCTCCGGTACTTCAACTGACGTTTATTCGGTCATGCAACGCTGTACTGAAACAAATTTTATACCATTTTTTTGGGGACAGATAGAGCTTTCGGTGGTATTTAATCACCACTGGGGTTTTATTTTTTTACTAACAAAAACAAAAAAGTACAGAATATTTAAAAAAAACAGTGTTTCGCTTTTTATTATTTTAGGAAACATTTATTTTTACCCAATTTTTTGGTAAAATATAAAAGGTCACATCGGGTAAATAGACGCCAAACATGTCAAGCCAAAATTGGCCATAGGCGACGATTTAAAAGATTTTAGTGTTATCAGTGATTGATGGCCCTAGAATTATTGCTCTCACTGCGACGTTCGCGCAGATATGTAACGTGCGGCGTAATGGGCTCCAGTCTCCTAGGGGGACACCGATTGCACTTGTATTTATAACTATCACATTTGGACTCTTTATGTGTGTGATATACACATAAAAATACTAGGGCTGCAACAACTAATCGACTAAATCAATAATAATTGGCAACTAGAGAGAGAGAACTTTAGTTGAAAAAATAATCGGGCAACAAATCGATTATAAAAGTAATTGTTAGCTGTAGCCCTAAAAAATACACCCCTGCACATATAATATAATACACTTCCCTCCATACAAATACAAAAAATACTCTGCAAACACAGAAATTATGCCTTTAATCCAAAACTCTATTTAATTTATAAATAGGTTAAAAAGTAAGGGTTCCAATTCTAAAGCATGGGGTACATCAGTAACAACCTTAGACTATTCAGGGCATAAATCATTAATCACTACTTTCTGAATACGGTCTTTAAACCAGTTTTCTATCCATTTGCTGACTCCATTTTCTAAGACTATAGACCAAAACTTACACTTTAGCCATGTGTGTGGAACTATGGCAAATGCTTGGTAAAGTGTTGATCCTTTTTAAATATAGGCAGCACATTGGCCTGCACCAATTCATTGGTAACAAGCCAGAATTTAAAGAGTCCCAAAAATGAGAAACAATGGATTTGAAATAACAGTGTTCAACCCCTTTGGGACATGTGGGTAACAGTACAATCATTAAAGTCACAAATAGGTTGTACAAAAGGAACCAAAAAGCCCACCTCTAAAGTACTGTGAGACACAGCATTACCTTCTTATATCAGAAGGTATTTACACATCCTCACTCCCAGCACAACACTCAAAAACAAGGAGCTCAGTCTCAGCTCAGTCTTAGCCTTTTACAGGTTTCTTAGCCCTCATTAGTGCAAGATATGGCTATACTGACTCTATGGTGAAGACTTGTGAGCCCTACATCACAAAGCCAGTAAAGCCATACTGTGCAAAAATAAGGGCTAAGAAGCCTGAAACCGCTGTATGCAAGTTAGTAATACTTGAGCTGTAAAATTATGGCTAAATTAGGACTGTATCTCACAGGTATGTGGGCGTAATCATCTGTTCCAAGTAATTCAATTACCATTATTTTGTTTAGCAGTTTCTGGACAGCTCCAATAGATGCGTCTCCAATGATGCAAACTCCATCTGTATTTTACATATATACACACGGTTAGAAAACCAAACGATCATGTAAACAATTCCAATTGTTAAAACAGGTTTAGAATGCATGTGGGTATAATGCATGTGACATAGACCACTAAGCAACCCTTACCTACACTAAACAAAGAAAGTTTTGGATTTTAATACACTTAAAGTGAATATTCACTGTTCCAGACTATCATGTAAAGAGGGTTCTTTACAGTAAGAGCGGTTAAGGTCTGGAACTCACTGCCCTCAGCAGTGATTTCAGCCGAGAGTGTAGATTTGTTCAAGAAACGTTTGGACAATTTCTTGAGGGACCGCAATATCCATGGATACCAGTATCCCTAAGAATGAGATGATGCGGGGCATGTCCTGCTCATGGCGGAGTAAGCAGCAACTTCAGTGAGCTCCGTGGGTTTCACTACTTCTACACTACTTATACCGACTTATATCCCTCCAGTTTGGACCCCAAACAATGTCCAAACACAGCAAAGAGGACAAGCCAGCTTCACAACGAAATACCCCCTCGAGGCAAGAATTTTTCACCTCCACACGTAACAGGCTTCGTGGCCGGGACCAATCCATCATGGCCTCCGAGCCCCGTCTCCTACGCACGCCACAAGGCAATGCCTGTTCCCGATCTCCTACTCCCCGGGAACCCCGCTCTGGGACGCACTCACCTCGGACATACGACTCCGACTCCACTGATGCTGACTCGTACCCGTCCCACAAGCAGCTGACCGACATCCCGCAGGAGTTCTGGGCCCTGTTGAACTACTTACCCACCAAAGAGGATTTTGCAGCAATGGTCACCAGAGTGGAGACGGCCCTACAGAGAGACTTGAGCAAGATGCGACAGGAGATCCAGGCGGTCTCGACGGATGTGTCCGCTGTGTCCACCACGTGCACGGCTCTAGAAACCAGGGTCCAGGCCTTGGGGCAGGCGCACCCGGTGACCTCACCGCATATTGCGGCCCTCCAACTACGCATGGAAGACCTCGAAGACCGCAACCGACGCCAGAACGTAAGAATTCGAGGCCTACCGGAGGCAACAAACCCTGCGGATCTCCGCTCCACGGTGCAAGCGATATTTGGCACACTGCTCCCCAGTGCAGCCCCTGATTCCATACTGCTGGACAGAGTGCACCGCACCCTAGGCCCGCCGTCCACAGACGCATCCCGCCTGAGGGATGTTGTATGCTGGCTTCAAGTCTATTCCATGAAGGAAGACATCCTGCGACAGGCATGGCTGAAAAAAAACGGTCGAGTTCGATGGAGCGGCCCTACAAATCCTGCCAGACCTCTCACGCAATACCCTACGACGCCGGGCCCTGCTGCACCCTCTCCTCTCGCTGATCCTCCAGGCCGGAGCCTGCTACAGATGGGGATATCCGATCCGCTTGCATGTCCGCAAGGGTGGAGACTCGTTCACGGTCCGTTCTCCGGCAGACGTCCCCAGCCTATGTGAGTTACTACAGCTACCCCCAATTGAAATACCGGACTGGGCCCGGGCATGCTCGCGTGGGTACTGGCCTTGTACTCCCATCCAACGGCCAGAGTGTGCGTGAACGGAATACTGTAGACTCCATTCCCAATT